AATGTTTTTTTTTTTTTTGGAGATTTCAGATAGAGAGTGGATGCCATTATTTGCAGAACAATATTACAATAACTTTCACCTTTAAAACATTCCAAAATGCAAAAGTAGTCAAAATAATACTCGTTTGAAACATGTGATATGATTTACAATTTATGAAATGTATTAAAATTAGCTACTTCCCTTGCTTCTTTTGCAGACTCAGTAGACATATTGCTTCCAGTTGTTCAGATTTTTTGATTTAAATTCAGTTCATTTGATTTATTTTGTCCGCCATATTTTCCTGCAGACCTTAAAATATAAAATTCGTTTGGATGCACAAAATTTTCTTTATCTAATAGGTATACCAAAAAAAATACATCAGATCAATTCGACATAGTGGAACAGATTATTTCGTAAGGACAAAGCATGATAAGCAATGAGTAGCTTAATGGGTGCTGGCAGTGCAACTATCGAGCAAAAAGTGATCATTTAATAGGAACGGATTGTACTGAATTAGTTTTACAAGCTGAAAGAAACATATTGATATGAGTACGTTGAGATAATCAAAGTCTTTGCTCCAAAAAATCTTCCTTAAATTCAGATTCGAGTTTTAATGGTGGCGTTTACCTCAGTCAAAGTTAGCTTCATGATATGGATACTATGAAGAAGTGGGACGACTTTTCGGATATCACGCTAAGATTACAATTTTAAAAATTAGTATTTTTAGATTTCATTAGACAGAAGAGAATAGTGAGATGTTAATGGGTTATGTAATCTGGAAGGTGAAATGTTTCGTTGATTTCTTCCTTTCCTGAAGCTTATAAATGCAAGTAAGGGTCGAGGAACAATGCTTTAATGTGTGTCCTTTACGTTTTCTGTCCTTCATTTTTTTTTGAATTTTGGATATTGTAATCTCAGCTTTCCCTGTTATAGTTACTTTCTTCATCATTCTCATTTCAATACATATGCGAAGTATGCATGAAATTCGTGGCCAAAATTCACGAAGTGAAAATTAGGCCTGTACACAGGAGCAAACTGAAAGGAAGCGTTGTAAGACACATGCTTGACCCAATACCTTTTCCTCCTCTCCCATACCATTCAGGAATTTTCAAACTTCTCCGACTCCACTTCATTCCTTACTCTCCTCTCTGCTACTTTCAGGATACACGACGAGCCACTTTAAGGAAGCATTTAGCTTGTTGCCAGGCAACGTCATCGCCCTTCTGGTCACCCTTATTGCTCCTTCTGCTCTTTCCTATCCCAATTTAGTGCAGCTCTTCTCCTCCTCTTTCTCCTCTTCATCTTCACCGGTGCTTAGTTTATTGTCCAGCTCCCTCTCGTACACACACACAATCGCCTTTCAGCGGCAGCGCAGCGTGATTGTCTGGTGATGCAGCTGGATTGCATTCTGCGTGATAACGATCCACAGAGTTGCAAGCTTCTTCCAACCTTTGTATGTTCTCTTTTTTATTTCCTATGGTCAGCAAAGAAATGCAACCAGCTCTATACACCTTTGCTCACTGTAAAATCACTTCTCATTTTCATTCGTAAGTTTCATCCGAATACTTGATATACGTGCATGTAAGCATCCTTTGTGCGAGTGATCACCTCGAAGTTTGTAATTGCCAACTCACGACAGAGCACTCTGGGTTTTATTTATGTGCTGCATCAGAAGGTTACAAAATATCTGCCGCTTGCGTTTTTCTTGAGGAGATAACCAGATAGTGAATTTGATGTAGGCATTTTGTATATTAAAATCATGAATCGTGATTCCAAAACGGGTGCACTGGCTAAGTTATTGAAATTTAGTGATATCTTGATGCTTTTCTTGGTTCGTTGGTCAAGAATGAGTTCCTTTTTTAGATGCCACATTAATTTGACCTATAATATATATACATATATAAAGTGTATACCAACGACTAATATACGTGAATGTTGACATCTCCTTTTCTTCCATCACGAATTTTGAAATTATAACGCGAACTTCATACCGGGGGTCATATGAGGTCGCTGGACAGTAGGCTAACCTCCGATCAATAGAAGGTCATCAGATAATGTCACTAAAAAGTGGAAAGGTAAAAGGTCACTGGGAATGGGTAAACTGCTACTGATCCGTTCTCAAAATTGTTAGACAAATGCGATCTATGCCTTGTGTTTATAAGTGAGAGTGAAGTAAAGCGGTATGCAGTACCAAGGTACAAGGCCATATGACGACGTCTGCTTGGCTTGTTGTCAATATCTTTTATATATATAACCGTATGTGTCATCCTCGCAATTTTGATTCCCTTTCTTTGCTGTTATCTCTTTTCCTCTCTGCTTCTCTTTTTGAGAGGGGATCGGTGCAAAGACGTGATGTCCACTAGTGTCCATCCATCCTCCCTCTTTGTTTGAGATCAGGGCAGTATTCGCCTCTCTCTTCTCTTTCCCTCTCTGCTTCTATAATAACAAGTCTTAGGTGAAAAAGGAGGGAGAGAGAAGAGAAAAGGTGCCTTATTCTTTAGTTCACTTTGTCCCCTCTCATCCTTATCCATTCTTTCCGTAGCCACATGGGCGCACTACAAGGTGTCCTCTCTTTTAGTTTGTTGTTGAAAATGAGCTTCCGAGCCATGGCACGCTTATGCGAGCTCCTCTGTTTTCTATGGATTTCTTTAATGCTTCGAATGATAACGTATCACGCTGTACTTCTACTGCTGCAATGCGAGCACAGCTGCCACATTCTGCAGTGTTGCTCATCCGAAGCTTAACCTAATCCTCCGCTTCTTAACATCCTCCACTATAAGTACCTTTCTGCAATCTTCCTTCCGCGCTACTTTAAGCAGTCTTTTTGCGCTGATGAACTTTGGGACCATATCACTGCTCCAATACCTATTAACACGATATAAAGCCGAATTATAGCAAACCTGTTTAGTGCACTTCATCCATTCACTTCATGGACATTATTTACTTTGTCATTAAGATAAATGTTATGACTTACATATCGAATTATGCATTACAATTAGCCAGAAAGGACAAGACTTGTTAGTGATATGGAAGCTGAATTTTATATCTCTTCTTCATAAGATGCACGAACATTCTTGATGTTTTCTTCGTTAGTTGTTATTTAATGTCACTAATACCTAATCTTCTTCAGATAACGGCTGGTTTTCACTTGACCTCTTAGGAGGTCGTCATGCTCCATATCTCCTCGTAATAAGTATATTCTTAATGAAGGCTTGACTCGTTGCTTCTACCCTACCAAAATTTCCATTGAAAGGATTTTTCAGATGAGAGTACAGTTGTGACAAATAGTTTGCGAATTTGGTTGATAAAAATCCGAAAAACGCTTACATACTTCTTACTATGCACAGCTAGTAGATTTAAAGTAGTCGTTAAATAGATAGCAAGAACAAAAATACGGTTAAAATCGAATTTTCCTATATAATGTCATTTTAAAATCATGCACTAGTTTTTTTACTTTCGGATTACAACCTGGTGAAGCTTGGATTTGACTGGTATTCATGTCTGGTACTGAGAAAGGAATCGAAAAATTATCTCAGTTAATGGGTGCGAGTTGGGAGATGTACTTTCCAGAAGGCTTGAAGTTTTTCTGAAAGAATATTAACAAAAAAAGATAATAGTAATAGTTAAATTAAGGGCCGTATGACTCGTGCATCGTTGCATCGTCCAGTAATAAATATGGATTTCGGATGCACAGTGGACTGATGAGTCCGAGGATAATGGACGATCGATGGTCCTATACAGTTGTCTTCGTTCATATTTTGTAGGTTAATGCATACTTAATTTTGGTTTGCGAATTATGCTACAAGTAGGTCTTGTAGATTGTTCCTGCCAATATCCCCTTATTTTACCAATCGGCATTTTTTGTTTTGAGGAGTCGTATTGAATGTGTCCATTCTAAATTTTTTTCTTTCAAGTTCCTTTAATAGACAGGCGTATGATGTATTCAAATTATACATTTTACACTTTTCTGTGAAAGTTAGGAACTTACGTCTTATATCAATATATTGCATTACACAGAAAGGAACTTCACTGTCTGCTGAGGGTGAATTATGAAGCTGTGAATCTTGAATTCGAGCTAATGAGAAATAAATTTGCTAAGTGATAGAAAACTAAATGGATTAGATATGGATGAGGCAGGAAGCTTGAATGAACGGACACAGCTGACCTTGTAAATATGCCTTAGCTAAATCTTTTGGTTGCTTCAACTCTTCTGCGTTATTGCGTCACGATCGGTGGACACTTACTCATTAACGTTCTTTCTCTCTCTCTCAAATATTCTTTCCCTCTCGCTCTTTCGGAAGCAATTATTCGAAAATCTGATCTGAGAATTGGTCAATCAACACGCTATGAAATGTGGGCTTGCATTTAGGAAAATGGTTGAGCAGTGATATGCTAAAGGTGATTCAGTACCAAGTACCATGAATAACTGGGAAAGTTGTCATTTTTGCAATTAGTCACAGACGATTGGAATTAATCACACTTTTTTGAGTCAGTCAATCCAAAATATAGGACAAAATTCTGGAAAAAATAAGTGAGAAAGTTTTGTAATAAACAAACAAAGAATATAACGTTAAAAGAGCTATTGTGAAAATTCTATCATAAGGGACTTATTTTTCTTTCCTTTCTGAAACAGCAACTCTTGTGTGCAGTGAGTTATCTCTTATCAAACTTTGTTTGATTTTAGCTAGTAATTTTTCTGAGGAATTCTGTGTGGCTTAAATTTTTTCTCTGAAGAAGGAATTTTATACAATTTCAGTTTCTTCATACATGCATTTGTTCATTTTGGTTTTTGTTTTATCGCTTTTTTAAGAAACAGGATAACACCCTAAAAGGATACGTGGAACTTATTCGCGTTATCATTGTTATGATTGCATTTCAACATATGCTACTTCTCTCTATATGTTGCATTGTTAGTCATATGTCATCTTCTGTTCGACTGTAAGATATACAATTATCGTCACAAGGACAGTTTGTGCATGAATTATGTGCGCAGTGAGTGGTCTTTTAATGCTAAAATATCTGCTTATTAATTCCAATGGAATAAATAGATTTCATACCATTTCAAACATACGTACACGCGATGAAAATAGATATTGAATAAATGGAGATCATTGAGATGATGTCGCTTGTGGATTGTCAGAAAGATCGAAATGTTGTCATGCTGTTGTCAGTGCAAAAGTGTTTGTCTCAGCGAATTGGTGGTGCGCAGATGCTATTAGTCAACCATCTACTCAGGTACCATTCCTAGCGTTTCAACTGCTTGAGAGTGCTGCTATTTAAGTTACTGTGAAATGATGTTCTGGTCGAGATGCTGGAAGAAAAGGAACTGAATGAAGAATTTAAAGAATAACAAATAAATAATAACGACTAAAATATATGGTCAGAAGGATCAAAAAATATACAGTTCATCATTAAAAACGCTATTGGAATGAATCGCTTTTCCACTGATTTCGTCTGAGGCTTTTTTAAAAACTAGAAGGTGTGCAGGTTAGTAATTAGTAATATCTTTTTATGGTCTGAAATTCGCAATATGTAATGGATTATGATCTCGAATTTTTTGGGAGATTTGATTTTAAAAAATGAATAACATTTCGTGATAGCTTCCACCTTATGATAATATCATGAAAAAATTGTGTTGGGCGTTGTTGTTGAATTTCTAAATTTGTTTAAACGACATCAGCAACTGCGTACAACGATTTGTCTCAGTTCTGTAATGTCATTAATTTCTTTTTCGCTTACATTTTGAATGTTGTAAATTTTCCTACCTTTCCCACCAGAATTCAGAAAATAGAGAAATCTTATAGAAATTAATTGTGATGTGTATTCATTAGAAGGGCGTGTTGATACTTTTGGTGTATTAAACTTCATCAAAACTTGACCTTACGAACTCCCCAACCGACCATTCAAATATTGTTTTATTTATCGCACTATCAATCTAATCATGAATGGAAGAAGAGAGAGGTTTGTTTTGGAGATGGTGAGAAGCTAAATGATGATTGCTTTAAATAAAAGTCCATCATAAAAAATTGAAAGCTTTTAGGGAAGTAAATTTTAACTGTACGCTTCCTCTGTTAGATAAACCATCGACTTTGTATGGGGAAACATAAAACGTTTACAATTATTGAAATTTGAAGACATCATGATAATGAAAAAGTTACTAAAGCACTAAAAAGTCTATCTTGACCTGAAAGAATTCAGCTTTAGCCAAGGAATTTTTTTTACTTCTTTTTTCCCGTGTTTCTTATAAAGCTAACATAATTTCATCTTCGATTTATCTTTGCTATCTGTATTTAAAAGCAAGCTTGAGTAGCCAGTGAGATTCTTCAGATCATTCATACTCATGTTGTCTTTTTCCAGTCAATATATCTAAGCTCCGTACAATCAGAGCTGACGCTCGTTTGTGAAATGCACACAAATTATTAGCAAACCGCTAATCCAAATTCACATTCACTTCTACTCACTTCGATATGTGCGTACACATACAAATATTTGTACATATAAATAATGCATACACACATATACACACTCACTCACTCGCAGATGTATTCCGCTTTTGCCGATGGCAAACATTACAACGTCGTTGCCGCATCCGAATCAATAACAATTTTTTCTTGTTTTGTTCCAAATCAAAATCATTTTTTATGAAGTTCACAGTTTTGTGCTCACTTGTATTTTGTTTTGTTTTAAAGAGGGCGGCTTATCGTATTAGTGGATTTGCTGGTTTAAAATAAGATCATAAGAATAGATCAGTGAAACTTGCTAATCAGTCTAATGAGAGTTTTATTTCGGCATAATTCATATGCTTTGGAAATAGCTGGTCTGATGGGGAACTCGTCAAAAGTGGTTATGTAACAGATATTGGCATTCAGTGCGTGAAGCAAATTGTGGGCGGTGTTGGGTCAGAAGTTAGGAGAGAGTACATAATTTTGTCTACATTCATTATTGCTGACAGTTGGCAGTAGAATGTTTTGTGATATTAAGGAAACATAATTAGTGCAGGTAATATAAGATGTAGAGATTTCATAATAATAATGATACTGGTAATGGTGATAATGACAATGGTGATAGATAATGATATTTGTAGTCTTGGTCGCGGTGGTGGTGATGATGCACTCACCCGTTATTCGAGTAGAATTATAATTGTGCAGCAGCGGTTCAGTAGCTATTATTGCAGCAGCAGTAGTACAACACAGATCTACAACAAGAAAGGGGAGTGAGAGGGGAGGAGGGTGAATAGTAGTGTTGACGTTGCTGGTTGACTTGCTCATCCAAGGTTGTTGAGCTGTTGGTGATCTGTTGTGTGGCGACCTCTACAGCATGTCCATCTGCGGGGTGCGTGGCTCGATGCTGTTATGCCAATTGCGCTAAAGTGGCTTCTTTTATCTTCGACACGTATCAGCATTGTTTGGTCTAGTCTGTGATTGCTTAGCATTAGTATATTCTGAAAACTTCTCCCAACCTCTCACGAATACCTCGAATTACCGGTAGTTTGGCTAGGACGGCCAATGTTCTCTTTAGACTGTACATATGAATATATATGCATGTGTATTCGTCTATATGTATATGTCGGTTAGTCTCAGTGACAGTGTCACAGCCTGTCCCCTTGTGGGTCTGTTCATCTTGTGCGTCGTTGAAGCATGGTGATGAGGGTTGGGTCAGCTTAAAGCGAAGAAGTGATATAGTTTAATGCAAATTTCTTATCTGCAGAGGTGGTACTGAATAATTCTAGTTAATTATTGAACAGTTAGA